ATATATATATATATATATATATATATATATATATATATATAATATATATATATATATATATATAAATATATATATATATATATATATATATATATATATATATATATATATATATATATATATATATATATATATCCTTGAACTCATCACACTTTTGTCTCTTACAAACACAAACTCTAATGTATTTTGTTGAGATTTTAAGTAATAGGCCAACATAAAGTTGTGAATAATTGTGGAGTGGCAGGAAAGTGATATGTATATATATATTTTACAAATAAATACTGTATATAAAAGCATGAAATGCATTCCCATTAACTCCCTTTACAATGATGCCCATAAATAGAATCCAGCAAAAAGAAGAAACAGACAAGACCACTGACCACCCGCTCAATCAGTAAATATATTCCACCTGTAATAGACATTAGTGAAGTCCAAAGAACACAGCAAACCTGTCAGATATTTAGCTAATAGTAAAGTTCAATGACAGTGTTGGGCTTCTACTGGACAACCCCATCCCATCTTCAAAACATGGTGGTGGAAGCATCATACTGTGGGGAGACACGTCTGCAAATGCTAAGTGATAAAAGACTTGAGACTAGGACAGACTTTCAACTTCCACCAGGACAAGAATCATTAATATGTAATCAAATCTATAGATCAAAGCTTAGCCATGGGTTAGAATCGCCTAGTCAAAGTTCAGACCACATGAGACCGTTTTTCCCTCTGTACAGTCATACACTACACTTAGTGAAAATGAAGAAAAAAAACCACTTTGAAGTGAAAAGGTTAATAGTGTATGAATACTTTTTCCAAGACCTTCCACTTACTTGAAACTGCAATTTTTTGCATTTTTCTCTGCTACACGTCTTGATAGCATCCTGGAGCAGTACACTAAAGGTCTCAACAAGTCAAACTCTAAATCTGCAGATTTCACAGTGGGAGAGTCAGTCGCAGGCTCAAAAACTAACACACATGCTCATATGCACACCCTTGCCTCTGCCTAAATGCCAGTACCAAGCTGTTGCCCATAAAGTGTTTGGGCTGTCACAATAGAGACATTACCACATGAGTGAGTGGCTCTGAATGGGGCTCTGGGTGTGTGTGTATACAGAGTGTTGTGGCTATGGGGGAGCTCATAGCAAGGCAGACGACCCTGTCATCACCTCTGCCCCATGTCAAACCACCGATCGGCATCAATGGTGCATGCATCGGGCGCACACATTTACACAAACGTCTGCCGCACGGCTTGTTGCACCTAAACAAGTTTGTAACCGTCGTTTTTTTTTCCCCCACCAGAATGAGACTCTCTACATTTACACAATAGCATGTGATCAACTTACAAAAGATAAACTGTTTAGATGGTTAGTGAATGGTTGACCCAACCAGGCCAAGCAGGGTGAGGGGTTAGTCTGAAAGGTCAATAGAAAAGAAACTGTGCATTTTCAAAATAATTGAAAGGCTGGGGACACTTCAGCAACAACTGGATATGAATTCCTTCTTGTTAGAGAACGCTGATGCCGCAAAATAAGCATACATGCATAAGGAAACACGTCTGAAATGTTTATCAGGGAGCTATTGCTCAATTCTGTCAGCACTCTGTCACTGTAGATGCATAAAAAAGTCATTATGCACACGCAGACTTTTCAACAAGCCATGCAGAATGCGTGTGTGAGCGTGTGCGAAAAAGGGAGCCATATGGGTTTTAGGGGCCGTGTCACCCACGTCTCTGGAGGAATGCATGACAGCGATGTTTTGTCACCGCGCGGAGAGCAAAGCATCACGGCAGGAGAGGAAGATGAAGAAAAAGAAGCAGAAAGGAGAAAGGCATGAGTTAAAGGGGAGGGAAAAAAAGAAAAAAATATATGTTTTTTTTCTTTCTTCAACATGTGCTTGCTGAGGAAATTAGGTCATCCTAAGTGAAGCAATTGCTGGGAACAAATCATCATCATAATTGGATCCTTAAAAGTGTGTAAAGGTGGCCGTTTTACACGCACAAACACAGTGACCAAAACACACGTCAGCAGCAAAAACACAAAAGACTGGGAGGGGTTAAGATAGGATTTTGGCATAAATCAGAAAATGTTTGACAGGTTTATTGCTCTTTCAGGAGCCCCATTTGGGACAGAAGCATGATAGAAGAACGTTACTCGTGGCAAATATAATTGTGGTCACGATCTTACCATAAATCATGGCATGGATGCATCACATTTGCCTGGTGGCAGCATGAGGGGAAAAGATTCCAATGCATCAGCTGACCTGCGGGATGTCAGTACACATTCTTTCATCCCACCACCTCACCACCCCCAGCTTCCCCCCAGGACATTCACAAGCAAGAAACACGCCAAATTGAATATGAAAGTATACTTTAAATGCATTTGGGTTTTTTTCACCTTAGTCAAATAGGTCAATCTCACTGAGACATAAAATCTAACCTTTTTTACATATCCACTCTCAAAAAAGGGCATGATAAAACATACAAAGTCATTAAAATCCTTCTAGTTATCTTGACCAGGTAGAACTAGAATAAAAAAATATGCAATCAATAAAACATTAAGAGTTTCTTTCACTGACCTTAAGATATGTTTAATATTCTTTACTTAAATTAATCTGCATGATTTCAGGTGATTTATTTCAATTATGCGGAGCATCATAAGAAAATACCACTTTTCCAAATTATGTGCAAACTGAAGGAACGGCTAAAGTAATACAATATTGTGATCAGCAGCTGTTTTATTAATGAACATATCCTATTTTTCTAAAGAAAAAAAAGTATTATCAACATATGTCTTGAAAGATTTGTATTGATTGAAAATGCCTAGATATTTGCTACCAGAAACACATTTTGCATGTGTGTGTCTTTTTTTATAGATATCTGTAATATCGATCAGTAATAAGTAGTAGTAGTTTGATCTGAAGAGCCAATATTACAAAGTCTGTGATATAACAGTTTATGATCCACAGTGTCAAATGCTTTTGACAAATTTTCAAAAAGCGTAGCATGGCATTGGCATCCAAAACTTCTACTAAATCATTTAAACCTTAAAGTAGTCCATAAGTGATTGTTGTAAAGCTGCATCAAAAATGAATCATACCATCATGTTTATTTTGCTACTAAACCTTAGATTTAACCATAGCTGTGTTACATGGTGTGATAAAGATTGCATACCTAACCTCCTAACTTCCGTTTTTCCTCCAACATTTCCCAAGACAACGTCCACTCATTATTTTTTCTCTTTTTAAAAGACAGCTACATTCACTAAGGCATTGCACATGCATGCATGCAGGCTCTTCCAGACATATAACATGGGTTGAATAAATCTCCATAAAGCATCTGCATTCTCTGATACTGCTGGTATCCAGTGGAACAGCATCAACAGCTGGGCAAAGGCGCGGAGAAGAACGAGGCAAGCCAAGCGGTAATTGCCATGAGCCATGTCACTTATCAAAATAATTGACAGCGTTTTTAAAAAATGTGGGAAGGGACTGTTTATCCAGGTGATCCCAACCCAGAGGATTGGTAATGAGAGGTCTGGTTTTGTTACGGTTTGTTCTGCCAGGCTATGTCCTGGTTCTGTGGGTGATTTTATTTTTAGTAAACTGAACACTTTTTGTAAAACAACAACAAATGCTGTAATTTTTGAAGCTATTTTGCTAAATTATTTATTCAATAATTTCACGTAATTTGTCAAAAACATTGCCTTTGAAAAGAAATCATACCGCTTGAGCTTTTTCACATTCTGTCACAATGCACAATTTTCAATTAATAGTTTGTTTGCTTTTTATGGGACAGACCAACAGAGCAGGAAAAAGATTAATAGTTTTCAAAAAAAAAAAAATTGTTGCGTCAATTTGTACTCACAACCCTTAGCTCTGATATTAAACAATAGCTTTTGCACCAGCTCGTGCATAAGAATTTGGTGATTAGATAACCGTCAGTCATGCATTCCTTTATTAAGAGTGATAACACAAAACACACTATTGAAGGAAAGAAAGACATAAAAAGTCCTGTTTTTAGTTTGCTGTGAGTCATGCATAGCAAACACGTGGAAATGTGCTCTGGTCAGGAGATGCCAAAATGTGGCTCTCTGGCAAGATACAAAACATTATGGTTGATAGGACTAAATACGGGACAATTTTGGATGAAAATGTGTTGCTACTAAAGACAATAGATTGGAGCAGAGATTCACCTCCTAGCAAAGCAATCCTAAACATACAATGGGGGCAACAATGGATCATGCTTTCGTTGCAATGACCCAGTCAAATCACATGGCTTACTACAATACAGAGTTTCACCAAATCTTGAAAACTGGTGTTACAGATACCGTCCACCCAGTCTGACTGAGAATGTAAATGGGCAGATAAATATGTCGATGTACAAAACTAAAAGAGATATTATTAAAAATACCTGCTGCTGTAACTGCAGCAGATGTTGGTCTCACGGAAATTTAATTCAGCGGGTTGAATCTGAATGCAACCTGCATCGTTTCCAGATAATTATTTGTAGACGATTTTTCAAACCATTGTTTCCCATCCTATTCACAACCAGACATCACTCCATGTTGGTCTACCACATAAAGTCGCCTCTCCCACCTTTCGGTGTTAGTAGTGCTGATAAATGTGAGCCAAATGGTATTATGTTTTCAAGGGACAATCTTTTGGGGAAATAACTCTTTGGGAGATATTCTGATGTTTGCCTTTTAAATTTCTCTTTTATAAAAGTTCTTATTCCCTTTTATTATTGTTTAATGTTCCTTTTTTTAACTTGCTCTGCTAAGAAATTGTGTAACTTTTCCCTAATTGTTGTTATTTTCATCAACTGTGAAATTTAACTTTAAAACTTGCATGATAATCAAACATTTGTCAGAGTGTAAAACTGTCAAGTCCCCACAGGCCTCTGGATCACACCACAGTCAGACTGATTGACAGGACTTTGCTGATTGTGGACCCTCCTTCCCAGCTTCTACTCCTCTCTCTCCTCTCCTTTTCCTACTCAATCGCAAGGCTGCGCTCAACGACTCGACACCGCCAACAGGGATGCAGCGAGGGCGCAGCGTAGCCTGAAAATGGCACCACCACGCGTCCCGTGGATCTATCCATCCCTTCCCCTGCTGTCCTCCCTTCTCCTCGTTTTCCACGCGTCTCCGCCGAGCACGGCCTTACGGAATTACCCGGAGAATGAAGGTGGGTGTGCGAGCCTTCGGGAAGGAGTTGAGTGGGATGACTTGGGTGTTCGCGCGCCATGTCGGCGGCGGATGGGAAGCCCCTTAATCCCGGCGGTCCCTCTTCCCGGGGAAGGAGAGGAGCGGAGCGCTGCGCGGCGCTGCGCGGCGCGGCGGCACAGACTCCCATTAAGTGCTCGTCTCGGTTATAAATCATGCATTGAGAGAAGCGGGGAGTGTTCGTCACGTTTCTCTTTCCCGAGCATGCTGACATTAAATTTGTATTGTATGTACACTGAGAGACAGCTAGGGATGACTGGAGACATTTCACTTTCTGACACCGAGAAAGATTTTTTTTTTTCCCTCTTCCCCCGACTTAACTTAATCATGATTATTCCAAACAACATTGGTATATCTGCCAAAACATTTCTTAATTATTGATATCTTCATTTTTAAACACAGATAAATGATGATTTTCTTTTTTCTTCTTCTTCTTTTTCTTCCTCTTGCCTCAGTCTGCAAATGAGGAGCAGCAATTACATTAAATTTGTCACACGCTGCTGCTGAGCCTCTCCGGGTTATTGTATTAACATCGATGCTCAGCCTGAAATTAGCCAATACATTTACTCTCTAACTACTCTTGACTGCTTGTTGGAATGAAACATGGGAGCTGGGCTGTCTTCACGAGAACCTGAACTAAATCCAGAAGTTATTTCCCTCTCCCCAAAAAAAACATCTGTCAGTGAAAGTGCTTTTTTTCTTTTTTTTTTTTTTTTTTTTTTTTTTGTGGGTGACTTGATGGAAACTGGAAGAGGCAGTCTGACTGAAGATGATACAGCTGTGAGTTGTCACTCTGTGAATCTTTTCATTTGATATTCTCTGAAATCTCCAGTTACTCTTGATCTGATTGCTCAACAAAGCGCTCCATCCCTGTGATACTTTTTTTTTCTCCACCACACTGAAAACATAAACTCCAGGCTCACTCACTGATAGATGTCACAGTCAAGTGACGCACAGCGGAAGGTGTAATGGGACCTCATGTCTCTGCCTGAGTTAAATGTATAAGATGTTTGTGCATACGTCGTGCTGAACATATGTCATAGAACAAAGACTCAGGAGGATGTGTAGGTACAGAAACACAGGAGGAGTGGTTGAGGAGGATGATACAACACGTGCAGAAGACTCTAAAACACTGCTGAAATATTCATTGAGACTGGCATGTATGATGAAACCAACTGGAAGCCAAAGGAAACTCCTGTTGATTTAGATAACAGCATTAAGCCATGTGGTTGGTCTGTGTAGGCGTGGGCTTATTAAAGGTGACAGGGTTTGAAAATTCCTGTTTCCGAATTGCCCATTTTTTTCTGTCCAAATGTTTAAATGGTTATAGTTTTCTTAGGTTTAATGGAGTGCAGGGTAATGGAGCATGGGTCCTCGAGGCGAAACACGGTGGTGGCAGCATCATGGAATGGAGGAGGCTTTTCCTTTAGCAAAACTAAAAGTGATACAAAAAAGTTCATTCTTCTGGCCAGATATATTAAACACATTCGGAGCATAAATATCTACAACATCTTAACAAAAACTGCATACAAGCATTATGTGATCACTTCTTGTGATTGAGATCATTTGCACCCCCTGATATTTCAGTGATGACTGGAATTCAATATATTGTGTAGGTCTAGTTGCCAAGTTATGAGCATCATGTTTGTTAGGCAGTGGACAGTTGGCTGGCTACTACAACAGGAAGCCCAACTAATTAACAATCTGATATAGGTTCATAGCATTTGGTGTTACTCTGTGAAGACCAGGATGGCCTTAAGGTATAAGTTTCTGCACTTCAGGCACTGAAGAACTAGGGATAAAATAAGTGAATTTTTATTAAAGGGGCAGTATTATATATTTCAAAAATCATGTATGCTGCGTATATCAAATACAACTTAGAAATTTGACGTGTTTAGGCACTCTTGAGGAGTTGCCAGGGGAGATTCAATGGTTTCTCAAACATCCCTGAATGAATCAAAGCAACATTCCAGCTATGCTTTTGATGAGAGAATAACATAATGTGCTAAAGCTAAAAAGGTTGATTTCACATAGTACCACACTTTGAATCACTTTTGTTTAAAGGCTATGTGTCAGTGTTAAATATTATAGATGATCTTGATATGACTAATCATAAATATAGCAATTTATGTCTGCACTTCTGCTTTTCTGTTTCAAATGAAAGTGGTTAGTGCCATACATTTTCCATTAAAGGTTTTATGTGGATGCAATTTGACATTAGTGTTTTTACCCAGGAGTATCATGCGGTGTGAAACCCAGCCCCTGATTTGGGCTGTGCAGGCTTCATGTTCAGAATGACATATTTTGAGGTTGCTAATAGGTTAAAGTTGCTTCACATTTTTTAAACATTTATCAAATGATGCAACCTGGAGTATATGTATCAGTGTTTATCTGTTTGTGGTGTATTTGGTCAGCTCATGAGCTAAATTGCACCTTAAATCCCAGAGCTCGTCTCGTGTTTGCAGAAGTGCTAGTGAAGCGAGCATTCATTTGGTCCAGCGGGAGAATAATTCAATAAAGCACATTTTGGCTTCACCGTCTGGCCTCTCAGTTATTGCTGTGGCCACACCTTTTTACCTTTTACATCTGTGTGTGTGTGTGTGTGTATGTGTCACACTCATTTCTCTCAGTGTTCATTGTTTTCCAGTGAATCCTCCTTTTGAGTTCCTCTACTGACAAAATGGGTTTGTAAGAAATGAGCAAGAAAAACCTACTCCTTTGGACTGAGCTGATAGCAGGCACACTATTAGAAAACTGTAGGGGTTTTAAAAGCTTCCTTTAGTACCAGACATTGATCTGGTCCAAAACTGTTGACATTTACAAGAAAGTTTAAAGCTGAAGGTGGATTTGTTGCGACAGAGTTGTTCCAGTGTAGGTACCACAGCACACGGGAATAGATTATTTCAGACGTTGAGAGAGGGAGTGATTTACAGACGGTCTTAGTTATAAATGTCAAAAAGAAGAGGACATGATGACCTGAGCGCACCAGCAGAGGGAGCCCTAAACACCCTACATCAGGACCCTGAGGGTTTACTGATGTAATTGGAGGGAGGATGCTCACAGGGCTTCCTTTTTTTCTAGGAGTGTCCTCATCTCTGGGTCCTCTTTAACTCAACCTAGCGCATTATCTGGCAATATCGTTGCTTTTGTGCAGAATCATGTTCTTTTTGCTTAATTTAACTGCTAAGCCCTAGACTCTAAGAATGAGTTTGATTTCCTCTAGTGCAGCTGAGCAGTGATGACTGTACACTAATTAAAAGCAAATGAATAATTTAATTGCGCATTTTGGATGTGCAAACATGAAACTGAATTAAAGAAAAGGAGGGTGGAGAAAAACAGCACGACACATAAAAAAGTGTTACTCGGTCACAGTTTGGAAAATACAGCTTTTCATTGAACTGGCCTCAGGGTGAGCAGGGAAATTGCTTTATTGCCTCTCAGGGTCAACATGAGGGTGAGCAGTTTTAGTGCAAAGGCAAGCATGCTTTATGTTAAACCTCCCCTCGATTTTAGTCACACACCACGCACACACACTCGCTGCGATTCACACAAGTTCCTGACTTAGGTATAATGTTGGGTCAAAGGTCTCATCTGCTTTAATTGCTTCAATCTATAATGGTTGCTTGTAGTTATCGGCAGAGACATACCTCAGTGCGCGTGTGTGTGAGTGAGGCCGAGAGATTGCTCTGCTCCCATGTAACAGCCGTGACCTTGGACCAAACAGGATATAGATCTCCCCTCTCATCAGAGAGCAGCAGACTGGAGCAGCAAGCATGAGCATCCTCTCCTTTTTTTTTTTATAACTTCTGCTCCAATTTCTCTCTAATCCCCTTTTTTTATAACTGCTCTTCTCTGTTTTCTGTTTTCAGCCCTCCCTTGTGCCCTCCATTTCTTACCTTCTAGTTGCTTTTATTCCCTTTGGTTGCCTTGCTGCAGTTATTGTGACTTCGCATGAGCGATTGGGCAGAGCCTTCTGTGATGAGACTGATTGGTGTACTTAAAGATACACAAATCAATATTATAGCCAATTTTGTACCTGTGCGTTCCAGATAATGTAGATAAAGTTATCCTAAGTCTTTTTCTGTCCCATTAGTCAGGGAAATAGCTATTGGCTATCAGTAAAGTGTCTAGAAGTTGCAAAATAATATCACCACTTATTTATATAATTGGTCATCACCATTTCACACTGACAGGAAGCTTTAGAAGAGTGCACAGTCCTGTTGTTGCTAACTCTATTGCCTTCGATCAACAGCATCTCAGGATAAGGTGACCAGCTATTGACGTTACTCTTGTGTTTCTCATTGTTCAACTATTGAAACCATTTTGCTTCAAACACATCCAAAACAATCCAAATGGATGTCTGTTCATAGGACACACATAATGTCAGCATGGCATGTTTGAGACCCAAGCATCACCTTGTATTTATGAGAAGGGAGGATGTAATACATTTTATTACCTGAGACAAAACTGAATGCACCGACGTGTGTAGGTTAAGACGAGTCCAAAGCAGAACAACGCAGAAACAAAAGAGAGTCTGACATTTAAAGGACCAACACAGACTGACAAGAATCGAAAGGACAAAGTAACCATGGGAAGCTTGCTAATACGTAAACTGAATCCTGGTGTGCAGGAAGCAGCGAGCTAGACCAACTGGAAAACACAGACTCTGGAAGTCAAGCAAGGACACAAACAAGGAACTGTAAAACCAAAACTAATGAAAAACAAAACACAGACAAGACAAGTAAATGAAAACAAGACGCGGAGAAGATAAAAATCAAAAACAGCACAAACCCCCACAAACCACAGAATCAAGGCACACAGAAATAACTCCACCCACTCATCTTGATTTAATGTATGGCTGGGGGGCAGTTAGGTGGTCAGAGAATAGTGTCACATGGTCCGGGGGCTGACTGATAGATAGGGTTATAAATATGAGCCGGTGACAGAAAATGATTCTGCCAC